AATTGACCTAGAAGAACAGCTGCTGCTGTAGCAGGCCATAAGCAGCAGCAGCAGCAGCAGCAGCAGCAGCAGTTGAGCTGGTGGGCCCCCGAGCCTTGTGTCGGCCCCACAGCAGCAGCAGCCAAGAGGTCCTTTTCATTCTTCTTATCACTAAAATAATTTTAAATATAATTTTTAAACTGCAATTGACAACTTAGGAACTTGTAAATGTGGGCAGGGCTGCTGCTGGTGCTTCTGCTGCAGTTGCTGCTGTTGCTGCTGCTGAGGCTCACAGTAACGGACCTGCTGCAGCTGCAGTTGCTCCTGTGGCACATGCTGTTGCTGTTGTGCTGCTGAGGTTTAATTCGCTGCTGCTGTTGACGATCCCACTGCCGCTCATGAAGCTCCCGCTGCCGCAGCTGCAGGTCCCGCTGCTGCAGCTGCAGCTCCCGCTGCAGCAGTAGCAGGACAGCGCTGGCAGCAGTAGCTGCAGCAGCGGCTGCCACGCAAAGGCTGCAGCAAAGACACCGCTGCAGAGGAAAGAGCGGGAGCAGCAGCAGCCCAGAGCTTCACTGCCGAAGAGCTCAACTGCTAAACCCTAAACCCTAAACCCTAACTTAGCCCCCAGGAGCCGCGACTCCCTCAGTCCGGCACAGCCTTTAGCCACCTGCAGCAGCAGCAACTATTGCTGCTGCAGCAGCAGCAGCAAGGGCTGCTGCTCCTGCAATGTGGAATCTTTCATATTTCGAAGGCGAGTTAAGGACAATAGACTCCCTGAGCCATTTATGCTGCAGCAACAGTGCTGCTGCAGCTGCTGCTCCAGCAGCAAGAAAGCAGCAGCAGCAGCAACCACGGAAGTGCTGCAGCAGCGTGCAGCAGCAGCAGCTTGTTTCTTTGGCAGCTTCAGCAGCAAAACTGCCGAGCAGCATTTTGTGCAAATTCAGGTCTATAGAGAGCTGCTGCTGCCCTGCATTTGCTGCACCCGACTGACGCAGGAAAGGCCTTTTAAGGGTTTAGGGTTTAGGGTTTAGGGTTTAGCACTCGAGCCCTCCAGGCCTAAGAAGCGCGGCAGCTGCTGCTCCACACAGTGCAGCAGCAGCTGCCTATACACGTGAGCAGCAGCAGCAGCAGCAGCAGCTGCTGCTGCTGCTGCTGCTTTTGCTGCAGCTGCAGTGGCTGTTACTGTTGTGGCCGCTGCTGCGGTTGGTCTTGCTGCTGTGGCTGCTGCTGCAATGGCTCTGGCTACTGCTGTTGCTTGTGCTGCCGCTTGTCCTGCCAGTTTTGCTGCTTCTCGTGCTGCTGCATCTGAAGTTGTTGCAGCTCTTGCTGCGGTCGCTGCTGCTGATTCGTTGCAGCTGCTTCCGTTGTTGCTGCTTCTGCTGCGTCTGTTGCTACTGCTGCAGCTGCTGCCTCCCTTCTACATACAGACCGCCAGCAAAGACAGGATTGAAGGCAAAGAAAGTTATTCTAAACGCTAAACCCTAAACCCTAAACCCTGATCCCCAAGCCCCCGAGCAAAACCCAACACCTTAAACTAGCGAAAAGCTCAAGTGCAGACAAAGACAGGCTCTAAACCCTAAAGGGTTTAGGGTTTAGGCGCAAACCCTAAACCCTAAACCCCAAACCCTAAACCGCAAAGCAAACCTCAAACCCTAAACCCTAAATCCTGAGATTTACGCCTTTGAATCAGGCGGGGCCAAAACAGCTCAAGCTTTAGGGTTTAGGGTTTAGGGTTTGGAGATTGAGAAATCCCCCGAGGGTTTAGGAGTGCACGAAGGGTCAACTTCGCAGCTAGGGCTTTGCCTCCTGCTCGCACGGATTAGGGTTTAGGGTTTTAGGATTTAGGGTTTAGGGTTTGGAAGGCTTGGGATTGTTGCTGAAGCTCTACAGTCAAGAGCCTCACGTCTGCGCCTAAGGATTTATGCAAATAGGTTTCAGAGGCACGGGTTTAGGGTTTAGGGTTTAGGGTTTAGGGTCTGGCGATTAGGGTTTGCAATGTAAGATCTGAAGACTAGGCCTTGCAGAATGCTGACAAATTGGGCCACCGTATTTCAGGGTAAATGTTTTAAATTAATGTTTGCTGCTGCTGCTGGTCTGGTCGCGGACAGCTCGCATGCAGCAGCAGCAGCGGCTGCTGCTGCTGCTGCCGTTGCTGCTGCATTTTCTGTTAAATATAAACATATTTGGATCTACTGATTACATTTTAAATACAAAACATTTTCGTAGATATTGCTTAAAGCAGGCGAGGCCGCTAGCTGCTGCTGCCTGTGTTGCTGCTGCTGTTCCTTGTTACAGGATCCGCTCTCTCAGCAGCAGCAGCAGCAGCAGCAGGGGCAGCAGCAGCTGCTGCTGCTAGTATAAACCGGCCAGCGGCCGGCGAGCTCCAGGGCACGCGGACACAGCCGGCTCCCCGGAGGCTCCCGCTGTGGCTGCAGCAAAGCAGCAGCAGCAGCAGCAGCAGCAGCAGCGAGAGCGACGGAAGCGGCACAGCGGCTGCAACAGCAGCCATCACAGCAGCAGCAACAGCAGCAGCGGCAGCAACAGCAGCAGCAGCAGCATGTTAGGCCTCTTCAGAGATGTGCAGCAATGACTGCCAAGGCCACTGCCACTGCGGCTACGGGACCCCCGGGGGCCCCTGGGGCCCCGCGGGCTTCCACGCCCATTTTGTGTGGGCAAGAGCTGCAGCAGCAGCAGCAGCAGCAGCAGGAGCAGCTTCAGGAGCAGCAGAAGCAGCTCCTGCTGCTGCAGCAGCAGCTGCAGGAGTACCAGATGAGGCTCAGGCGGAAGTGCCCCCTGGGAACTGTTGGCTGCGAATGCGCTGAAGTCGATGCTGCAGTTGACCTGTTGACAGCAGCAGGAGATCCTGCTGCTGCTGCTGCTGCTGACGACGACTCAGCAGCAGCAGCAGCAGCGGCAGAGCCTGCAGCAGGAGCAGCAGAGGTAGCAGCAGCTCGAAAGCTACTGGACCGCTTTGTGTGGCGGCGTGGGTCCTGGCGTCGCTGCATTGCTGCTGTTGCTGCTGCTGCTGCGCTGCAGCAGCAGCAGCAGCAGTGCCCTGCGCAGCTGCCGCCGCTGTTTGCTTGTTCAAACAGCAGCAGCAGCAGCAACAGTGCAAGCAGCAGCAGCAGCAGCAACCAAAGTAGACCAGCCTTTGGACCATCCACTTTCGAAACTGAAGGTGCAAAGCCTTCAGCAGCAGCAGACGCGGCTGCTGCTGCTGCAGATGGTGCAGCGGCAGCAGCAGATGCTGGTGCAGTAACAGCCGCGGCAGAGAGCGACACCTCAGCACCAACAGCAGTAGCAGCAGAGAGCGGCTCAGCAGCAGCAACAGAAGCAGCAGCAGAGACCAGCACAGCAGCAGCAGCAGCAGCAGCAAGAACGCGAAAACTTCTGCTGGGTCGCTGCATGTTTGCTGCTCGGGCGCTGCGGCTGCTGGCCCGAAAAAGCCTACCGTGGCTGCAGGTGCCGCCGCTTGCTGCTGACGCTGCTGCTGCTGCTGCTGCTGATGCTGCAGCAGCAGAAGTAGCAGCAGCAACTCTTGAGCCGCCTTTTCACAACAACTTGGAGTGCGTCTGTATAGACACCCAGCAGCAGCAGCAGCTGCCGCAGCAGGTGCTTGCAGCAGAGCCTGTGGGGCCCTCGCTGCTGCTGCACCGCAGCTGCGTCTCCCTCATCGAAGCCTGCTGGTCCTGCTGCAGCAGCAGCAGCAGCAACAGCAGCAGCAACGCGTGGATTCCTCCCCTTGCTGTCTTGGAGGAGCTGTGCGGCGCTGCTGCTGTGCTGCTGCTGCTGCAGCACCCAGCACCAGCAACATTTCAGAGGGCGCAGCAGCAAAGCCCGCTGCGGCGGTGCATGCGCTTGGTGGCTCTGGGGCTTCAGCATCAGCAGCAACAGCAGCACGACGAACAGGTCTTGCTGCTGCACCGGCACCTGCTGCAGCTGCTGCTGCTGCAGCACATCATCACAGCAGCAGACGACACCCAAATCTGCTGCTCGCCGCTGCAGCGGCAGCGCTTCCTTGCTGCGCTGCTCACTGACACAGCAGCTGCGCTGATGCTGCTGAGGGAGGGGCTGGCTGGGCTAGCTGCTGCTGCTGCTGCTGCTGCCGCTGCTACCACTCCTGAAGAGACCGAGGTGGGAGATTTCTCAGACAGCAGCAGCAGCAACAGCAAAGCTGCACAGCAGCAGCAACGGCAGCAACTGTGGGACGTTGTACACGGTGTCTGGATGCGCTGCTGCTGCAGCTGTTTTGGCGTGT